CCAATAGAGCCTCTTGAATGTTACACAGTGGACCTTTAAATTACATTCATAATGACCTTTAAAGTCTTAAACTGAACCTGTTGAGAGCTGCACAAGCCCTGTAAGAGAGAGAATGGATTATTTCTTCTCTATGGTAGTATGTACATTTGCTGTGTTTCTTCACAGATGTATGCAGTTTTGTCTGTATATTTTCCACAGCTGTTCAAAATGTTGATCATATAACTGAAGGAACTTGCGTTGCTCAATCGATCCAATCTTGTAACCCGAGTCAATATCTTGAAAGCACTGGCAAAAGACAGCAATCTCTTATATTGACATTCCACCCGGCGCCAACCAAAGCTCATTATCGAATCCCAGAACTAACAGAACACACTGTACCAGATACTTTTTATTGAGTCATAGCAACTGTGAGCAGTGATACAGCATGAGACACTTTGGAGTCCCTCTCACCACCACAACAGGGGGAACTGGTTTTTCAGGAGCATGTGTGGCTTTAATTAAAAAGAGCATGGGAAAGCTCTGCAATAGAACAATCTGGTATAACCTTCATTAACTGACTACCCCCGTCCCTCAAGTTTATCTCAAACGGCATGTTTTCCTTTTTGAGTATTTATCTTATTTCAGGAGTCAGTTGAGCTCTTTTGAAAAGGAAACATTGCAAAATCAACACAAGATGTGTTTTCTGACTCAACACATAAAACATATAATACAAATAAATAAACAGTGGAGTGGATTGAAGCTATAGAATATAAAACGCTTTCCAAGGGATCAATATTATATACACACACAATATCTCACAAGGCCAAGAGACTCCAGAACTTTAAAGTTTTCAGAGACGCATGAACACAGTATGTTTTTTATACTTCTGCAGAGCTGGATGTGGATGTGAGAATGAAGTAGAGCAAAGAATTACACTCAGAATAAAGAAAAGATCTTACGTATGAAAAACTCTGTACATATATTTTTCAAGGTGTGTATAAATTACCATATAGTGAATTAATTGGGAAATTGCAATATGTAAAGCGGTATCTTAGTGCTTCTCCATTCAAAGGATGTTTAGCCAGCTGAAAATATATTGCTGCTGCTGCTGCTGGATGAGAAGAGACGATCATGTCTTCTTCAACCTTTTATGACCTAAAAAGGGTTTTATGGGTCCTTAGGTAATGAAACCTGCTCTATCTATGAAAGAGCACATAAACCTTCAGTTCAGGTAAAGATGAGAAATTTAACAAAGTGGAAGATGAGGATTTGAATATTTAATGTGAGACCTGAGCCTAGTCAGAGAAAGTTAATGAAAATCAAAATTTGTTTTAGTTGGAGACATTTGAACGGGGTCAGACTCTACGCCTGAATGCAAAGGAGAGAAATACTCCCGCGTGGCGCAGACGCACTTCTTCGAAGGTAGAGGAATTAACTGCTTTCCCCCCACCTCGAGTCGATACTGAAAACCACTAAATCATCACCTCGTCAACTTCTGTGAACACTGTCCTCCTTGAGTACCTACTTGCTTGAGAGTGTAATGTTAATCAGTTGGCGCACATTAAAACAGCAGAGAAAATAGAGATGTCAGAACGCCTCCAGTGGAAAAGGACAGTGAGGGGTCAAAGCTGAACTGTTTGGTCACTTCATGTAGGATGTTGCCCTCAAGAGATTGTAGAATATTTCTAAGCCCGTTGCTCGGAGTTTAACTGTATGAAATAGTATGTGCGTGTGGGCAGTGACTGTTAACTAGGATTTATCACTCTGCAGTATGAGACTGGGATTGTAGCTACAGGACAAATGGATTCCAATGTACATTAAGACTTAAGATTTACACCAGACATCATCAAATCCTCAAACTCCCCAGGACATGTGGGCAAATTCCTAAACTGGGACCATGCTGATGGTGATGTGTGATGTGCTTCACTCTTCGGCTACGTTCACACTGTAAGCCTTAGCCTCAGATCTGACTTTTTTTATCATTTGATAACACAAATTCTGATTCTGGTGTAAAAAATCCGACCTGATCTGATTCAGACCACATATGAATGTGACTAAAATCAGCATCATCAGATTCCATGAGATGTGTGCTGTTCACACTGTCATGTTAAAAACAAATCTGAGTCATATATGAGCAAAAAAAAAAAAAACTAATTTGGCC